TCGATGACTTTTCAGCTTAGGGGTTTCGCCGTCGCCCCGCTCACAGGGCAGATTGCTACGGATTCGTGCTGCCATCAGCCGATGCTTAAGTTGTGTGCGTGTGCCTCAGCAGCGCTCGACGGGGAATGCGCACAGGAACTGGTTATTGTTCCACTGGTTGTCGGAGATCCTGACGTTTTTAATGGACGTGTCGTAGGTCCCGGCGAGGATGTCCATGAAGTGGAAGTGCTCCGCGTCGCTGGCCATAGGGTAGCGGGGGTACTGGAGACTGCCCAGCTGCATCTGGGACTCCAGGGAGTTCGCCGAGAACTGGTCCCCGTCGCCGGGGTGCTCGAAATTGGAGCACTCGCCGAGCAGGCTGGCGGTGTCCCGGAAGGTGACGAAGGCCCCGAGCAGTTTTGTTGAACGCCCTGGCCACCGTGACGTTGTAGGAGGTGCTGCCGGCGGGGAGCGTGTGCATGGTGGGGTAGGCGAAGACGAGATTCTGACCACGCAGGACACGGAGAGCCGCTTCGTCTCCTGTCTCAAGACCTCCACGCGAGGGAATTCCTTCATCAAGCTCAAAGTCTGCCTGGACCGGGTGAATCTCTGGGATGCCCAGATGCAACTCTTGCACGAGCTGGGGGACCTGTGGCCATTTCTTCGATTCCAGCACTCGGGTTTCATTCCGGGTCTCGCCCGGTTTGATTCCGGGTCTCGCCCGGTTCCATCCCGGGTGTCGCCCGGTTCCATCCCGGGTGTGCCCGGTTCCATTCCGGGTGTCGCCCGGTTTGATCCCGGGTCTCTCCCGGTTCCATTCCGGGTGTCGCCCGGTTTGATCCCGGGTCTCGCCCGGTTTGGCATCCTCACAGAAAAACGCTCAATTTGATCAAAAACGGGCCACTGCCACAACTCGCCAGATCTGGCGAATGCTGGCAGTGCCACAAAAAAGCGCTCAATTTGATCAAAAAACGGGCCACTGTCACAACTCGTCAAATCTAGCGAATGCTGACAGGGCCTCAAAAATGCGCTCAAGTTGAAGTCAAAAAACGTAGATTATGGATTTATACATGTGTTTGTGGACTTACAGCACTCTCAAAGCACGCTCAGCAGCTCCGAATTGGTGGCCCGGGAGCACCCCATGTAGAGGTGCTTGAGCGTGAAGTGCGGGCCCTCCACATCGTAGAGCCAGACCCGTCCCCTCAGAGTCAGTCCCTGAACCGAAGCATACGTAATCGCACTGCAAAGCCGGGTGTGCTTCAGCAGCTCCGGGCCCGTGAAGGACTGGCCGCTCTCCACTTCACGGTCAGGAAGGTGCCCTTCTGCACCTCGCCGCCGGCCCCGATCAGTCGCAGCCCCGGCCAGACCCTCATGGTCTGCGGCGCGTTCGTCGGCACCGCGCCGCGAGCCTCGTACTGCACCACCAGGGCATCGGCGGGTGCAAGCCTGCGATTCTCCCGTTCGTTGATCTGCAGCCACTTCGCGTGGGATATGACGAGGCTCACGTCGGGCTCCCCCCGCCTCGGCAAGCGCTGCCGGGCCTCCCGCGCCGCTTCGGGCAGCGGGACCTGGTCCGCATCGTCCACTCGAAGCCAAGTCAAGAACTCGAAGATTCGCTCGTCGAAGCGCCAGCGCTCCGAGAGCTCGTGGCA